ACAACAGCAGCAATACCGACAACAGCAGCAATATCATTACCACTACCAACAGCAGCAGCAGCAGCAGCAGCAGCACCAGCAGCAACAGCAGCAGCAGCAGCAGCAGGAGGGGGCTCTCACCACAGCCACCGTAAGAAATGTAAATTGCATGCAAAGAAGGCGAGCAAAGCAGCAGAAGAAGCAGATCCGTCTGCTGCTGCTGCTGCTGCTGCTGCTCCTGTTACTGCTGCTGCTTCTCCTTTTGCTGCTGCTGCTGCTATTGAACTGCAGCAGCAAGCAGAGGGAGATCCAGAGAGTATTGTTAGCTGTACAGACACCGCAGTAGTCTATAGAGCAGCAGCAAAACATGCCTGCTGCTACAGCAGCAACAGCAGCAGCAGCAGCAGTGCTGTTCCTTCATCTACTACTGCAGCAACAATTGCTCATTGCAGCAGCAGCAGCTACATACTGCAGCAACCAGGAGACAAAGCAACCAGCAGCACCATTAACCAGTAGCTGCAACAGCAGCAGCAACTACAGCAGCTGCAGCAACTACAGCAACTACAGCAGCTGCAGCAGGAACTACAGCAGCAGCAGCAAAAAGCAGCAACAATGGCCCCTCCTCCCTATCCTATTAACTGTTGCTACTGCTGCTAGCCTTGTTGTTCTCCAGCTTCAGCAGCAGCAACAACAGCAGCAGCAGCAACAGCAGCAGCAGCAGCAGCAGCAAATGTATATCTCCTAATTAATTAAACTGTAATAAAGTTGAAGGGATGCACAAACAAACAAAAGACAGGTCCCTACGAATCAGCATCTGCTGCTGCAGTTGCTGCTGCAGTTGCTGCTGCAGTTGCTGCTGCAGTTGCTACTGCAGTTGGTTCTGCAGTTCTTGCTGCCGTTGCAGCAGCAGCAGACCTGCTGCTGCTGCTGCTGTTGTTGTTGCTGCTGCTCCTCCATCTGCTGCAGCGTTGAATCTACTTGCTTCGGCAGCAAGAGCAGCTTGCTGCTGTTGCTGCTGTTGCTGCTGCTGCAGCAGCAACAGCAGCAGCAGAATGCTGGGGTGTATAGGCACCTGCAGCAGCATCTCCTTTCCCTGTGTCTCTTTTTTTTAAAAGAAACAAATAAGGAGTTAAATATTATATTTAATTAATTAATTAATATATTTATTTATTTATTTATTTATTTATTTATTTATTTATTTATTTATTTAGCTGCTCCTCCATCTGCTGCAGCGTTGAATCTACTTGCTTCGGCAGCAAGAGCAGCTTGCTGCTGTTGCTGCTGTTGCTGCTGCTGCAGCAGCAACAGCAGCAGCAGAATGCTGGGGTGTATAGGCACCTGCAGCAGCATCTCCTTTCCCTGTGTCTCTTTTTTTTAAAAGAAACAAATAAGGAGTTAAATATTATATTTAATTAATTAATTAATATATTTATTTATTTATTTATTTATTTATTTATTTATTTATTTATTTATTTATTTATTTATTTATTT